CACCGAATTCTGAGGTAGGCTAGGGGTCCCCATGAAGATCCACACGCAATTGGCTATGAATTCAATAGGGAACCACCTGAGAATTCGGTGGGTGGACATGAATCCCCAAATCATGTCCACCAAAGTTCAAAGGGTCCCCAATTAAAGTTCATTCCCCAAGTCACCAAGAAAGAGCTGACTGTCAGTCTTTTGATTGCCCAGGCTTTGAGAGGACTACTTGGACACCAGCCCATGCCAGATCAGCACACCTGCCGCGCTTAATTTGGGGCTTGCCGGCTGAGCTTGCGGAGGAATGATATGAGCATCTCTCAGAATGGTGGACTCCCCTTTTGGCTTGTATTTAAAGGGAAACCACAAGGACACCTTTTAGGGCACCCTTATTTGGAGGAACAGTCATATTGTGCCAGTTGCTTTGTTAGACCACCTGGGGGCATGCGTGAGGGGTGCAGACGCTGCTGTGCAGTGTTCAAGCGAGTTTCTTATATTTTGAGGGCATGGTGGTGGGGACAGGGTTTTCGGGCCCACTTCTATGACAAGGTGAATCTCTCTTGTGATTTCGGTCACTCACCGTGTTTCAAGCAGATCCACTCGCAGCCTTGACTCATTTGGCTGTGGGTCAAAACCAATGGGATCCCATTTTTGGGGTAGGTGCACCACCCATTTTAGTCAAAAGTGGGGATTGGTTGGTGTTCACTGGGGAGTACGATTTGGATTTTGATCCATGGCCATTTGCTTGAGGCTGGAGGATCACAACAAGGTCCTTCTTGCTGTCTGGGCCTCAAGTCGTCTCAGTGCCTGCCGCAAGCAGTGGATCGGAAAGGGAAGCACGGAGGCTTCACTGCACACCTCCATATGGGTGTGGGTCAAAATTAATCCACCAGGGCACCGCAGGTTGTAGTCCAAGTTTCCATTTAACAGGGCAACCCATTTTGGGTACCATTGGGACCATTTTTTGAGCCGCAGCCGCAGCCATATGATATCATAGTGCCCAACTTGGGGAAGGTTTCCAGAAAGAATGCCCCACACATAGTCTCAACGCTGAGAAAGAGAGACTGGGGAGGAGAAGCGGGGACAGGCCCCAGTTTTCTCAGGTCCTCTCGCGGAGCGGTGGGTTTTGGTTGATCTCGGCATGTGGTGTTTCTTTGCTTCGAGAGGAATGGCCAGTCAGGGGCGAAGCTAAGCTGAACCGAGCTGTTCAAAGGCAATTTTCATGGGTACCCTGCCAACATGGAATCTCCCAGAACCCCTGAAGGTGTGGCTCCATTTCGCTTCCGACTGTCTGAGGGAGTGAGGATTTGGCCCCCGAAAGTGCCGGGCCATTGGGCTGCTCAGACAAATGTACCAACATGGCGCCTAGGCAAATGGAGCCCAAATGGAACCGAAGACCAAAACCCGCGGAACCCAAGCTGTTTAGTCTTGAGCCACACCCAGTGGGGGCGCCTCACCCAGTGATTCCATTTCCCTGAGCAGGCAACCAAGGGAACCACCCCTTCTCACACCTACCATAGATTACGGTGGTTAGTAGGATCCACTGGGTCACCAAAACAAGAGAACGAAGGACACCCCCTTTTTTCACATGTTCTTCGCCCACATGGCGTCCGACATAGCTTCGCTCGAGTTGAACATCCGAGGCATTGGATTTGTTTCAAATCACCACCGTCTCCAATCATCAGACCACAGCTCAACTCGGGCCTGGCCCTCAGTGTTGCGCGGCATGCAACTTATCCATGGAGCCGGTGCTCGCAAATGGGCTTCGCTTTCCTTTGGGTTGTTCCTGAAGCCCCCAAAAAGCGAAGCCGAAGCCTCAAAATGACATATAGCGTGTGTAGGCCTGCCATGCTGTGTTTTCAAAGCGGCGAAGTTGGAAGCATGAGCCAGAGATAGCACAGCTCCTTTTGCATGCCTGTCTCACGCGAGAAAACAAATGCACCCCTATGGTGTCCAAAAGCTTGAAGGAAAGCCCCGGTTCCCACCCCGATTTTTGACGGAAAGCCCATGGGCAAGGCATGCCGGCATGATCTTGGCGATGCTCGAGCTGATGCAGAAGACCGATGCGGATGCCCAAGCACCCATTTTCCCATGTCCCATTTCAGTAGGGGGCTCTACCTGGTTTACTGGAAGCTTCGGAAACGGATGCACGATCTAAGGCACGCCTTTAGAAACAAGAATAGAAGCACCGGTAAAAGCGTTGAAGGTAAGGTGTTGTTTGGCACTGCTCAAGTGGGACAGTTGTCCAAATTCGGGACTCTCGAACGTTAGGTTGCCCTGAAGATTCCGTGTTGAGATCCCAGGCTTGTATCCATGTCACATGGTTTTGTAGCTGTCTTGTCAAAACGTGCCCAAAGAAGGGATAAGTATCAAACACACACTTCTAAAGTATGAATAGAACAAGGCTGATTAAGCATCAAGCCAACCCATTAGGCACCAAGACAAAGATTTACTACCATGCCCAAGGCAACTGCGAGGAAGGAAGGAAGGAAGGAAGGAAGGAAGGAAGGAAGGAAGGAATGAAAGGGGGGAAGGAAGGAAGGAAGGAATGAAAGGGGGGAAGGAAGGGAAGGGAAGGAAGGAAAGGGGGGAAGGGAAGGGAAGGGAAGGGAAGGGGAAGGGAAGGGAAGGGAAGGGAAGGAAGGAAGGAACCAAGCATGCTTGCTCTTTGGGCGCTGCCCCACCCCCCTCCCCGCCTTTTTTTTTTTTTTTTTTAAAGCTGCGCACTACATCACTAGTTAATAGTTCTTACCTGGCTGATAGCATTGTTTGTGCTGGTTCCAAAACACTTAATTCCATGAAATCAACAGACATTATTTGGCATCAAACAATACGTGTTGCTGCAAACCCCGTAAAACAAGCCCGAGAACTGCGGCATCAAACAGAAACTTCTTCGGCTTCAGAAACAATCTTGTTAGGCATGGCTTGCTTTGTTTAGACTTTGTTGGGGGTAGGTTTACTGTGGTTGGTTTAGGGTTGTTTGGCTTAGGGTTAGTGGGTTTGAGGTGGGTTTGGGCGGGTTTAGCATGAGTTGAGGGCGGGTTTAGGATGGGTTTGGGGTCGCTGTCCACAGTAAACCCACCCCCAACAACTCTAAACAAAAGAGCTCCTAGTGAGCTTGTGGAAACGACCCCTCAAACAAGGGACCTGGATTTGCCGTTTGAGCTAGCAAAGCGACTTGTTGAGCCACTTGTGGCTGAGATTCCGCCAATGTTTTGCAGCGGGAACCGAGCGCCTGATCAGGTCCCCTCGCTGCCAACCGTGACTGCCATGCTGCGCTGCCTCGAGCTGGCGGCAGAGGCTTCGTTGTCATGGGGCAGGGTTTTGTCTCCAGGGTAGGATTCTTCATTGGGGACCCTGTGGACATCTGTGGACACTGGGGATATGTTGGACATCATGTAGGACATGTTTGTCCACCAGCCCCTTGCAGCCTGTAGCTCGTCGCCGAATGGGGGCAACGGAGGACCACAATGGGCTTCGGTTGGGTTCCCTTGAAACCAGCCCCACACCTGGTTAGCCCCAAAACGGGAACCTGAGGGAAGCCCTGGTCAGGGAAAAAGGCTTCCGGGGTTCCTGGGTCCAAATCCCGAAAAAAAAGTCCCCCGAACGACATGGGGTGCTTGGGTAAACAGTGGACACCGGCTGAATTGGTCCATGATCGCCCCAATAGAAAGCAACGATACCCGGATTTTTGGGGGCAACCGGGACGTCACGCATGAGAAAAGGGGTTCCAAGACCCCGAATGGCTCGATTCGCGGCACCCGCAAGAAGAGAGATTTCTGCGATTCGAGCCCTTCGAGCCATTCGATGCGGAGCGATTCGATGCGGCGCGATCGCCAGGTTTCGGGCACCGCAGCGCTGGTCCTCTTCCGAGACTTCAGCGGTTTGCAGGCGGGGCGAACTCGAGTGAAGAAGTTTCGGTAGCTGCGATTTGGCCGGGAGAATTGCTGTTGGGGGTTCAGGGGCCTGTCCCTCTCTATTATTTTTTTGCCCCAGGTTGATTTGGCAAGATGTCCATGCATTTCAGAGGGCCATGGGGCGCTTAGATTTCAACCAGAGGCCGATTTTCATACCGCAAGCTTCGTAGGTTCGACGGCTCGCATAGGCCTTCTCCTTGAGACTTCAGAGAGAAGTGGAGCTGATCACGGCCAGAGCCGAAGACGGGGGCACCGGGGATACGCGACCTGGGTCCCCACAGGTTTTGATTTGGTCTCATTTTTTTTGTTTGGCAGGTCTTGGGGAAACAGTAGGACCATCAAGATGGGCATTGCTTCACAGTCAGCTATTGACGTGGCGATGCATTCGAGCAATGTTACAAAGCGTATACACCCTCACTGAAATGATGTCGTCCCTAATGAAGGTTCAAGCACACCTGGCTGCTTCTTTCTTTTTTGTTGGCCTGGAGCCACCTCCATTCCAGTCAACGTCTGCTCGGGCTTTCTTTTGGTGTTCATTTTCTTTGGGTTTCCTCTCACTTTTGGGGGAACACCCTTATGCAGGGCTCCATGTGTGCCCCTTTGGCGGGTTTTAAAGACTTCTTGGGCCAGTTTCCTTGGTTGTTAGATGAGAACTACTGGGAGCCTGGTCACGCTGAGCCTAAAGGGTTCTTGCAAATGAGATGATACATCCCTAGCTCAACCTCACCCCTTACCGGAGGGCCTTCAGGCTTCAACCATGTCAAATATGTCGGACCCCAAAAGGAAGCCAGCCGAGTTTCAGAAAGAACACGCAATGTTCATTGATACTCTCGTGATATATCAACCACGGGTAATCCGCACAATGCTCAGCTTCTTTAGCCTGAAAAGCCCGTACCCCCAGTGAACATCCCAATCCCCACTAACATAGACTACATGGGTGGTGCACCTACCCCAAAATGGTACCATTGGTTTTGACCCACAGCCATGTTTCCCTATCTCCAAACTGCAAGCACGTGTCCTGCCACCTGGCAAACTCGTTCAGATCTGACACGCTTCACAAGTGGCTGCAAGCAACTGAATTATCCTCAAGCCTGGTTGGCGCCTTTTTCGAACCACTCGGCAGAGTCATGTTTCAAAGCTTCTCGCACTCGGCTTCCTTCCCCCCCTTTTCGGGTGCTGAAGGGCCCACATGATTTCAACCAAAGTCACAAACAAGCTCAGTGGTAAGGGAAAGAGCCTCATGTTCTTCCATTTGCTCCAGAAGATGGTTTATTTCCCTTGTTGGTTTCAAAGGGAATCTATCACTACCGGACATATGGCGGTGGGTCAAAACCAATGGTACCATTTGGGGGTCGGTGCACCACCCATTTTCGTCTATAGTGGGGGATTGAATCGGATGTTCACTGGGGGTATGCCCATGTATATAAATAGATGTGTATAGGAAAAAAACATATATATATATATATATATATATATATATGCACCCCCCCCCCCCAAACCCGCGCCCACGGGTTTTTGGGGGTACCATATATGTTATATGTCTTTTTCTCAGGCTTCAGGAAATGCCACATTCTTTGACGTTCCCCAGTCAATTAGCAATGAGGCCTTGGACTTCTCCGGTGATGCCCCTCGCTCAGTCGCTCGTTTCTTGCGCCCCAGCCGGCGCTTCTTTCTCTCTCCTTTTCTTGCGAGAGAGGTGAGGACAAGCGCCGGGGAAGCGGCTCGTGTTTCTTTGCGCAGACGGGAGGACATCAAGTCACGTCCTTGAGGCATTTGATCTGGAGCCTCCTTCCGACGCTGAGCAGAGACAGAGGCTGGCAAGAATTGGCAAGGGCTCCTTTTTGCTTGGGAGCTCTCTGTTTCTGAGCTGCATGTTTCAAATCGGCTGTGAAAACTCATTTGCTTTTGGTTTCCCTTTGAACATGCCTAAATGGAGGTTCTGGGAGCTCTTGGAGGAGGTTATTGCAAGAAGGCGGCTTTGCCGCCAATTGCCAGCTTCTCAGATGCCCGTGGATGTTAGGACATAGACACATTCTGACAGGGCACGTCTTCTTTGGAGTTGGTACATGTTTTTTTTTCGTGGCCTTAAATTGAAATCAAGAGACGAAACGAAGCCATCTTGACCGTCCGGTTCTTTAAAAAGACGAGCCACAGCTTCACACTGCGAGGTTGAAGAATATTCAGACTGCGCTGCAATGCACAGAAGTCCTGCAGGCCTGGGTTCTGGGCTCCATAAGCCTCTGGGTCGATTCATTTGAGCAAGGGGTGGGACCCGTTCCCAAATGAACCACGGGTGTAGCCGCCAAAGACGAATCTTGCTTATGATTTTTTTGCCATGGCCGTTCCGTCGTAAGGACATGAGCGGATGCATGGTGTTGAAGCCAGGCTATGCAAAAATTGACTGTTCACAAGCAACACCCGGAGAGTTGTAGGATAGAGGACAGCGCCAGCGAAGCCAGGGATGCCCTTAAAGGAAACCGGGAATGGACGGTTGTTCTGGCCATTTCTCATTCCCAGCAAGAAAACCATGAGACCAGGAACTAAACCAACCATGGCCATTTTGGTTGGCGTTGGGAGCTTCAGAGAGTCACAATCAAAGTGGCGGATTTCCCATCGGTTTGATGCTGCTTGAGGTGACTCCATATACTGCAGCACACTTCAAGAGGAAATAGAGCAATCCAAACCTGGTATCGAAGGAGTCTGACCAAATGATGTAAAGAATCAAAAGGGGGGAATCCCTAGCTTCACACCCCAACCCCCCCCCTACTGAGCACCAGCAAGCTGCCGGCTCAGTGGGCTCAAAAAGGTCTCCGACTCCTGCTGCCAGGCGGGCCTCGCCAATGTGTTTCAGGGGCCCCTGATGGATGCGCTGAAGACCGCACTGAAGGAGCCGGCGCGCATCGCGCGCGCTTGGCAGCTGGCTTTCGCTTGGAAGGGTCTTTTGTTTTCTTGTTTGAGGGGGGAGGTGGTCAATAGGGTGCTTTTTTCCCGACAAGCTTTGGATGACCTACTCCGGGTGAGCGAATCAAAACCCGAGTAGATGAAGGTTAGTAAGGGACAAGCCCCTTGCCATAAACAGCTGCGGATATCCGCCTTCTTAATTCTTTACCTGGTTCTGATCATTTTAATACCGGGTTTTGATCATGACTCAGCTGGCTTTCGCTTAGGGCCAGGGCAGCTTTCTTTTCCTTGTTGGGGGGGGAGGGGGTGGTCAGCCCTGGGATTCTCACTCCTTGTAGAGGGGAAATTGGAAACCAACCTCCACACCTCCAAACCACAGGGGGGCCTCAGCCCGCAGGGTTCGGGTATGTCTTGAAATGGGGCACATCATCCCTTTGGAATGGTGTCTAAAGGGAAGCCCAATTTTTGCTGCTTCGCGCCAATGTCGGTTTCGGTTTCCCATGCTCCTGGCCCCCACTTCGGCTGTTCGGCTTCGGTTTCAGGAGCCGCAAAAGGTCGGCTTGTCGCTCTTCGGCACAGCGATAGACATCGTGTCCAGCATCATCCAAGATGCCGAGGGCTCAGATCCATGGTCGAAACTCCGCTTTTACTGGTTACCAGGGCTGGTCATGGACCAGTTGTAGGATTTTAGACCACCATTTGTAGGGAAATTTTAGTCCACAGATGGAGTTTTGATCATGGCCCAGATGACAGGCCTGTTCCACAGAGCCACCTAACCCCAACTAGTCCAAGCATCAGTTGGCGCGGAAAGCCGCTCTTACTCTTAGCCCATTTTGATCTGGGTGCCATCCCGCGTAAGAAAAGGAAAGTTCAAAGGCGCGCACCCATAATTAGCCTTTGACTAGGTGCCCGGGCTCTGCCGACTGAGGACCCTGCGAGAGTTCCGCAGATGATCGATTCAGGAGTGCTGCCGTGCACTCAAGTTTCTTGAGAGCATGGAGTGCGTATCGAAAAGGTGCTCGGCAAAGCCTTCAGCAGAAGCTAGTCGACCCCGAAAAAGGGTTCCCCTGTTACCAACCCGGGGTTTTTGGCGTGCGCAACTCGAACTCGGGTTCTGATCACATGAAGACATGGCGACTGGGACTGAGGCCTGGCATAGTGGCCGCACTCAACAAGGAAACGATGAGAAGCCGCAGCCCTGGAGCACTGGAGCATCCTGTTGCCTTGGACATGGATAATTGTGTGTCCAAAATATCTTTGGTGCATTTTGCCACGGGATGTTGGGACTTCAACATTTTGCCAACTAATGGGTTTTCCATTACACCTTTGGCAGGGGATCAGAAAGCAACCGAGATATAAGAATCCTGAACATGAGTTGGTGTTCCTTCGGCTTCGCTTTTCCGAGTCGCAATAATTGGCACATGTTGCCTACTTCCGGGGCTGAAGAGCACCAGCAATCCAAGGTGCAGAATGTCTTTCTTTTGTACCTGGCGTGCTGGCATCAATAGCTCTTCATGCCGCGCTGATCTTACTGAGCAAGTGAGAGTCACAAGAGACCTTATGTTTGCCGAGCGTGGTGCGCACTGACTCGCATTTTTGCTGCTTTTCACCTGGCACGAATAGGGTCTCCACACGAAAAAGCAAACACAGCTGTTAGCTTCCTTTTGGTTTCCCTTGAACACAGCCAAACATTGGTGTACCTTAAAAACAGCCCCCACCCCACATCGACATGGATGCTTGAGGTTGGTGAGGACTTTCTCCTGAATTCGCCCTCGAAGCTGGAAGCTTACAGCCACTTCTACGCCTATGGGGCCTACAACGGACGGCCCTGGAAGGGGTGTCCCAAACAGGGGCCCGAGGTGCCCGTTCTCAAATTTACCTTTGCGAGGGTCCCATCTCAACCATGGGGAGGCTTTTCCGGATGCCACTGTAGTAGTGGACCCAAGACCCTTGTTTTCCAAACACCAGCCAGTTTTACAGGTTGCCAACCCGTGCAAAGCGGGACTCGTGCCAGGTCTCTCTGAAGCAACGCGAACTTGAGAGAGACATTTAGCCGGGCCAAGGCCAATACAGCTGTTGACCCACATCCTGGTGGACGCGAGTTTTGCCCCGCTTCTTCACTCCCAGCCAGCAGCGCCCTCAACAAAAACCCGCCAAACGAAACCAAACCCATGGCCAAGTACTCGATTCACGACCCTTTTTGTACGGCGCAACAGCCCATGGCCTATTTGGGTTTTGGGGTTGGCTGGGATCAATCCGAGGAACTGGCACAGATCATGAGCACCCAGGTGGACAAGGCGAGGCTTGCGCAAGGGTTTCATTTTCTGATGACCCTGGGTTTAAGCCAGCTTTGGTTCCCTTACAGTGGTCTCAGCAATTCTTTTGTGGATGCCTGTTAAGCGGCCATGTCTTCGCGTCAGTGTTGCACGAGACCGGCGCCTTCTTGTTCTCGCGGGAGTGTGGCCCACCAGCCTTCGCAGGTGCTGCGAAACCGGCCGTCTGGGCCCAACCAGTTGACGGAACATGCCAGGATCCCAGGGCCTTGCAGCAAGCCGAAAAGTTGAGAGGAGCAGAGGGAAGCCGAAGGCGAACTTTCGTTGGGAGATCCTTGGCAGTTTTGCGTACGTGTGTGGCTGCTTTCCGGATTCACTGACAGTCAGAACGGGGAAGCTTCCGATTTGTGTTTCCATCCACCGCGCACAGGTGGTGGATTGCATGCTAGACGGCATGCGCAGCATTCTGGAGGAGGCGAAGGCGCCAACGAGTCGAGCGGGTCTATGTCTCCCATATGGGTGGTGTTTCTTTGGTTTCCCTTAAAACCCACCCTTTGAGACATTGAGAAGGGCTTGCACCAGATGGTACCAAGAAGACAGAGGTACCGAGACAAGCAGATGGTTCCTTATAGCCCAACAAGAGGTACCAAAACAAGACGCCCAACTGGCACGAGAGTTGACAAAGCCTGCCGAGCCAGGCCTATCCAGAGTGGACTCCGCTGGATTTGGAGGAGCACAGCCTGTGGCAAAAGTACATCGGGACTGGGGACTTAAGGGGAACCAAGGTGAAAAGAGCCCTTCCAAGGATTTTCTGGACAGCCTCAATTTCTGAGCTGGAGCTTTTCAGACAGCTTTCAGCCAAGGGTACTCCCGGATTGGCAGGATCATACGGACTACCTATCAGACAGACTGGCGCCCTTCAGTTGAGGCCTCAGAATAGCTATGGCGCCGCAAAAAGGCGACCGTGCTTTCGTTTGAAGGGTCTCCTCACAATGCGCTCCGAAATCTCGGCGCCGTGGCGATGTTGTGGCGTGAAATCAAGTCCCAGCGTGCAAGGCGGGCTTCAAATGCTCCGAAGCAATGCTTTGGAGGGTCAAAGGTGATGCACCTTTGCCAGGTCCAGCACGGACAGAAGGCTTGCACTTTCCGGCGGAAAAGGATTGGGCAAGCTTCGGCAACCTGACGGGTGTGGGAGAGGTCTCATGATGCGACCTCTCCCATGAAGGTTCTTCGTCACTGATTTCAGCTGGGTCATTGTAATTCACCTAGTCGGCAGTTATAGCCAAACGCCCGACTTCTCGAAGCAACAATGAATGGCAAATCGTTTCTGACCTGCCATTGCAATACGAGTGGCGGCGCAAGAAGTAAACTCGGAGAACAGGATTAGCCAACAGACTGCCACCGTCAAAGTCAAGGCACAAAGTGCAAACCAGACCACTCAGCAGAGGAAGGACTGCGTCTCAGCTAACATCCCATGGGCCAGTGACATCAATCATTGTGTCGAGGGAAACAAATGGTAAAACGTTAGACAAGGTGCCAGAATGATGCACGGAGTCTCTCCCTTTTGGGGGGGACACCCCAAAATGAGGACAGGTGCGAGTTGAATGTTTTGGGAGCGCGTGCGTTTGGCATCCCGGAGCGCGGAATGGATGCCTCCGGCAGTTCATTCACACACTTGCTTAAGGCCGCTTTTGTTGGTCGATCCTGTCCACCAACGAGCAGACTTTGAAGTCCTTCTTGGAGAAGTGGTTGCCTCAGTTTTTTTCGAGCAATGTGCTTTACGCCGGCCACCTCTCAAAGGATGAACCCCCCACCTAAATGATGTCCCACCAAAGGTTCTCTTATCAAATTTAATGTTAATGTATATCAAGTAGAAGAGTTGTAGCCATTCTTTGTTTCGCAGATGCAAGAGAATCCTTTGATAAGCATGGACCCGTAAGTTCGGAGTCCTGCAAACAATGTGCTGAAATCGGATTTGGATCCCCGAAAAACCGGCGGTTTGCCTGTTGGTTGCCCTAAAAACAGGACAACACACAAATGGATCGGGCTTTTCTGAGTTCCATGTTTACCGGGGGAGTACATCACGCAGCAAGACCATCGTAAACGCGTGAGTTTCAAAGGGAATTTTGGTAGCAGCAGTGCCATTGGGTGCATCAACATCTTCACCCCTGGGCCACATCAAAGTAAAGCCCAAGTATCACCAGCCCCGAACCCCCTCAAAGCCTCAATTCGTGCTTGGGCAGAGAATCCAAAGCTTTCAGCCGCCAGTGGCCACACTTTACACTTTTTTTTCTTGGTTGCTTCCTCTTTAGTTCAGTGGTGACCCAAAAAGTGTACACTCTTTTTTGCCTGGTCACTGCACAAGTAAGACAAACGTCTGAGGAAGGGCTTGCAGCTGGTGCGACAACTGCAGGAGCTGCCTTGCTGGCACCCCAAGATGCGGCAGAGTCGATGAGTCGATGAATCGGTAGTCACCCAACTTGCCTGCATATTGCTCGGCTCATATGGGTGGCTCCCTTAACTGAGGGAAACTCCAGAATGCGAAGGGGGGGGGGGCTTTTGAATTCCCGAACCAGCTCAAAACCGGTCGTTGTATCTTTCAAAAAGACCCCAATCTGGGGCTTTGTGTGTGTGTGTGGCGGCAACAGAACGAGTGCGCTTGGCTTTTTCAGTGGGCGATGCAGTGGGAAGCCCATGGAAGTCGGCGTGTTTTGGAGAAAGCTTACTTACATGTGAGCGCCCCAAACTCCAAAAGCGGACAAATTCTCGCAGGATTTCTTGGTACCTACCGGGTTGCCAGTTTGTTCCACCTGGTCAAACAGGGCTTACCTTTTTCCGAGTGTAGTCTTTTCTCGAGATTTCTTGTTGTTTGTAGTTTCAAAGGGAAACCAACAGGAAACCACCACTTTAGCGGGTCCCCGAACAAATGACACACTCATATCGACAGTTATCACTGTGAACTTTTTGGGGCGACTTCAGGGAGATGGCCGCAAAATGGTTTCCCATGGATTTGTTCCTTTTGGTTTCCCTTTGGTTGGGATTTTGACCCATGGCCATATGTTTGGTTTCATCTAGGGGACAAGAATCTTTCCTGCCAGGGAAGACTCGACACTCAGACGCACACCCAATGGACATGTTGTCTCAACGCCATGACTCCGAGGCCTGCCCTACCATTTGACCTCCTTGGAAGGCGGGTTGCATGGGTGGCACGGTTGTACTGTTGTTTATGGTAGTCTCGTTTGAACAAAAAAGAAAAAATCAAACAAAAAAGGTTGTTATTTATTGTGGTCTCATTTGAGAAAAGAAAGACATCGATGGACATTTCACTCTTTTGGAGTTTGGTTCGTGGGGGAATTTGGAATTTTGGGCTTCGGTGCATGCAGGTCAGCAACATCCAATGGCCAGCCTCTTCAACTTGCAGGCGGAATCAAAACTCGCCGCAACGGCCTTCCGATGCGCGCGAGAAATGGCTGCGGCTCAAAATACATGTACCCAAAATGGCCCCTGGGGAAGTGGAGGTAAATTGAAACAAAGACCAACACCTGCGTAACCCTAGCTCTCAAATTTTGAGCCACAATCAAATGTGTTGTTTTTTGTTTGTGTGATTAGCCATGGTTCATATCATCATCAGGAACGTCGCGTTAGTGACCGACCTGTGGTGTTTTGGCTCAAGTTTTGGGTTCCGTCGCGCCTCGAATGGGCGTCGCCGAACCCCTGCGTCGACCGACGGCATCTCGGGGGAGAAAGAGACCTCGGGCCGCCGCCAGGTTGGTAGGGACCAGTCGTGCGGCCTGTTGTCGACCAAGGTTGCGGGTTAACCCTTTTCTTGTTTGGTTTGTTTTCCTTTGGTTGTTGTTCTCTGGTGTGTGGGAAACCCTGATCTTTGGGACCGGGGATTGGTTTGCTTTTGGGGAACCTTTCTTTTGTGGCTTGTTTACCCCAACTTACCCATTGCCTGGGCACAGGCTCGTGCCCGAATCACAGGTTATCAGCCGTAGGACTTTCCTACGCGCTTGAGACCATCAACTACAAGCTCTATGTCGACCCCACGATCTCGAAGGAGCGTCGTGGATGAGGAGGCCATCCTAGGTGGCCTCCGCTCAGGTGAGGACCTACCGGACTATGACTACGAGGATTTCGAAGCAGGTTCGACAGGTCAGGACCGCAGGGGTGAAGATCCCGGTAGGGATACACCCAGGGGCCGTGGCAGGTACGCCGACGATGGAGACGATCGTATTTTCCGCCAGGCCACTGATGACGAGCAGACACGAAGGGTTTACTCCGATAGGAGTGGCTCTGAATCAGGTCACAGGCGTGGACATTTTGACTTCATCAGCATGGCGATGGACATGGCCCGCCCTCATTCGGATGACCCGGAGGCCATGCCGGTTCGACCTCCGAGATCTCTTGTTCCAGGTGAGTCGCAGGTCTCGGATGAGTTTGAGAATAGGCCGCAGGGACCAGGGACTATGGCTCTGGCTCCGGGAGGTATCCCGGGCCGATCCACTGGTTCTCAGAATCCAGGTCAGTTTGCACGAGGAGCGGAAGTTCTCAGACTTCGGATACGATGATCTGTTGAAATCGACCGCAGGATGGGGCAGTAGCTCAAAGCAGGGATCTGATGCCGGTAGGCCCAACCCTATTACTGCCAAATCTGAGTCTTATGATGACGAAGATTACAATTTTGCGGATGAGGAGGAGGGCCATTCGCGCCGAAATGCAGGCAACCGTGCGGCTGCAAGGGTTAGCCCTGCCGCTGCCAAGTTTGAGGTCGGTGATGATGACGAGTATGCCGCATTTGCGGATCGCCGTGATGAGGAGGAGGACCAATCACGCCGAAGTGCTAGGATCCGTGATGCTGCGAGGCCCAGGAGCCTCTCTCGTGGAGCCGCCAGGGACTTTCGTGTTGACAGGGACGTACGAAGCGAGAGAGAGAGAGCTAGGGATAGTCGGGAAGTTCTTCGGGGATTGGAGGCCATCCATGACCGTGAGGGACCGATAGGTCCTCCGGCGATTGGTGATACCCCGAATGTTCCCCCTTTTCCCAACATTACCTTTGGAGGTCCGTTGAGTCAGAGAGGCGTGAACTCGAACCGGGTTACTGGTTCGCCGAGGATCACTGAGCGGGCTGCCGATGTCGTTAGGACAGGTGCCAGAGATGGTCGGCTTGCCGATGCACTCGGGATCGAAGATCGTCCGTCGATTGCTAGCCCGTTAGGGCGAGATACCAGCGATCTTGAAACGCTGAGGTCTAGTAACGAGTTTACACCTCAATGGGGCTCGACCGCCAGGGAACGTAGTGTTTCTGCGAAGAGGCCGTCACCTCTCGCCATTGAGACCGATAGGTCGAAGGCGAGGAGGGCTAGCCCCTCACCAATGGGTTTGGCTCTGCAGGATGAGGAGATGCCCGATCCTGCTGATGTACACATTCACTCCACCCCCGAGTCACGTGCGTCCAACATTGATCCCCGATCTGGCGATAGCCGGAGAAGGGGATCTACCCCGAGTAGGCCATCCAGGATTGATGATTGTCCCGTAGATGACCCAAGAAGACATGCCGGGGCTGGTGGGGCTCCTGAGAGGATCGAGATATCGACTCCTCCCGCCCTCAGATCCCAGTCTTCCGGCGAATCAGGTGACGTCAGGGCAAAGGAGATGTTTGAGTTGCACATCCAGGAGATGCTCGAGAGGGGTGAGGTTTCTGGCTCAGTCGCGAAGGCGTTCCATATTTTTGCTGACCAAATCAGGTTACTGAACGGTCAGGTGAGTTCCTTGCGAAGGGAATGGAGCGACGAGAGCCGGCAGACGAAGGACAAGGTCGATCGCCTGGCAGCTGAGGTTGCAACTCAATCTGATGCCGGGAGGATGCGAATGATAGTTCAACGATTTGCAAGGGAAGTTATTCCCGACAGCAAAGCCATTGTGAGGCAAGCCATCGATGAACAGGCTGAAGTCGTGGAGCAGAGGATTAATCTACTTTCCCACGAGGTTCACGAATCTGTTAAGGACAATGAGGCCGCGACTGATCGGCTTCGTCAGGTGATTCAAGAGAATCGTGAGGCCGTCCACAGGAGCCATGCTGCTTCCGAGGATGAGATCCTTAAGGACTTGGACAAGCTCGAGAAACGGATGTTCTCGGTAGAGAAGACCGTCGGGATGCGGACGCCGGCAGGTGAATGGAATTTGAATCCTGTCGCGCAACCGTCCGATAGAGCCAGTAGCAGTGTGGTGAACGCGAATTTCAGGGAGTTAAACCTGAAGCTCGAGAAGGCTCTCCTCGAACACGAGAAGTTTGCTAAGTGGGCCTCCGAATCTATTGGTGGCATCAATGAAGGCCAAACCCTTCTCGCTAATCGGATGTCGAGGCTGCAAAGTGGAAGGGGTTCACAGGCGATCGATAGATCATCAGGGCCCGTATCCCCGCAGGACTGGCATGAAGCAATTGACGAAGTCAATCGAAAGATCCAGGATCTATCCCGTGGAGCTCAACGCCACCATGGGGACCATGACGATGTTCTTGCAAGGTTTGAAACCTTGAAATCCCGTGTTGAGCAGTACGAGGCGAGTTCGGGAATTCTGAATCAAGTTCTTGATGACATCAGAAGGCAGATCCGCAGTCTCCCTGCGAATAGTGATCAAGCACGGTCTGCCGTTAGGCGTGAGATTGACTCATTGAGGGGTACGCTTGAGGGCGCTATGCGGAGGATCAGCACTGTTGAGAGTAACATGCGTACTCTTAATGGAATGAACAACAGGATCATGGCTCAGCTCTATGAAATCGAAGGTCATGTTGATGAAGCTGCTGTCATTATTCAAGGTGCCCAGGACAATCAGGCGAATCCCCCACAGCCTAGAGAGAGACGGAACGTCGGATACGACGCCTTCGCGGGGCAAGGACACAGAATCAGGTCTCCGACGCCCACTCCCGGAGAAGGTAATGGCCGGGGTACTGGCCTTCCGGTGAGACCGGGCGTGCAGGCAGGCATCCCATTTATCCCGATAGGGAGAGGGATGACAGCAGAAGCAGGAGGGCTCGGGGATTGCCTGACAGGTCGCATTCACCGCCAGGGCGTGCGAGGGATGGCCCCCGCGCGCGCGCAAGGGGGGACATTTCTGTTTCTCCCAATAGGGATGTGGGTAGGAATAGGAGCCCGAGGCCTGCTGCCGTCCCCGATAGGGGATCTGAGGTCCGAAGTCGGCAATCAAGACAAGAGAGGCCAATCCGCGATAGCGGGAGCATCTCTCCGAACCTGGATAGGCCGATCCGCGATAGCGGGAACGTCTCTCCGAGCCCAGACCGTCATCCAGGAGGTGGTAGGGGTAATAGGGCCCATGCCGACATTCAGAGTCCCGGCGATGACTGGAGGACTCCTGGGAGTAGAGCTAGTGCCGACATCCAGAGTCCCGGCGATAGGTGGAGGACCCCTGGAGCTCCATCTGATCGTGGACAGGCCTCGGCACCGGCCGCAAGAGGAGCTCCCGGTACCGGTGGCCCAGATGCGCCGAAGATTTGTGCCCTCGATGATCCCAACGACCGTAGGCACCCAAGCGCTGAATTCTCGTGTGTTACGTGCAATCTTTGCCGGGGTGACGACGGGGACTGTTGCAATTGTCAGTTCTTGAAGATGAAATGCTGGGCATGTCGCAAGAATGCTCAGGAGGTCTCCATGTATTTCTGCACGGATTGTGGGACTCACGTCTGTGAGAATCACAGTTATTTTGGAAATGACGGCCTTGAGCGATGTGCGCGCTGCAATATTCGGCATGAACGCGCTCAAGCTGGACCGCCCCCTCCTCCTCCTCCCGGGGGTGGTGGGCAAGGCGGACCACCTGGTCAAGGTGGGAGCGGAAGCGGTGGTCATGGACATGCTCCACTTCCACCACCAGGTCCTGGACATCCTGGCGGAGGCCCAGGTCCCGCTGGACCCCCTGGCGGCCCGAGTGGAGGTGCGCCTACCGGGGGTTACCCTGGTGGAGCACCCGGGTTCCATGGTAGTGTTGCTGATACTCAAGGAACTGGGAACAATCAGTGTGGTTCCAGCTTCTATGGTCCTGCCTACGGAGGTGGCGTTAGTCACCAAGGGGTTGGCGCTGGCGTTAGTCAGTCTAGCGATGCTGCAGGTTACCCCTCAAGTGTTGCGAGCGGTGGTAACCTTGGGCCAGGTCTTAGCCTCGGCTATAGTGTGAATGGTGCCGGTAGGCAGGGAGATGGTGGTCTTCTCCCTGAAGCCTTGAGGGGAGATGATGGACGAGACAGGTGCACTAAGTGTAGCAGGATCCCTGAGCCTGGTTTCCCTCTTGTTCCTTGCGTTGGTTGTGGAATGAGGGCGTGTGAGGTTTGCTGCCCTATGCCTGCTAGGCTGTGTGAAAGTTGCAGGGTTACCTCATGTACCCCGATAGGGGCTCTGATTTCCACCGTTG